TAAGAGAAATTCAAATTTATCTTTCGTTCAAACAGGGGCGGACCGTAGTACAGACCCAGGGGGCTTCCGCCCCCCAACAATTTTTTCTTTTAGTGTGTATATATACGAAATTTTTATTTTTACCCCACCAACATTTAATTCTCGCCCCTCCAGGAAATATTTTGAACCCCCCAAAAATATTTTTGTCCCCAAAGCATAGCCCACTCCCAGAAACCCAATTGTTTAAGAGCCTAAAAAATAAAAATTATAGAAGTAATATTATATCAGCCCACTCCAAAATTTATTCCCAACCCAAATTCTAATCCCAGCCCACAGCCCAACCCAAACTAATGAAAAACCTACACACCTAGAAGTAAATCCGTGACTAAATCCGTGACTACAGTCCTATTTTTTTGTAGTGGCGGGATGGGATAACTTCTTAGAAATTGTTAAAGAGTTTTGCAAAAAGCATGATATTGAAATTCCTAATATGAAGTCTCCTTATGTGATAACACACAAACGCCATGATCAAGAAGGGTTTGATATTGAACGTCACTACCGGGTTGATATGTTTTACGTAGCCATAGATTCACATTTGTTGAAACTGAATAGCTGATTCAGTGAACAAATAATGGATCTTCTTACTCTTAGCGGTGCTTTGGATCCTACGGACTCATATAAGTCCTTTAACATTGATGATATATGTTCCATACACACAAAGCAGGACCAGGAGTAATATAAGCACCTAGATTTTTTTTGTTTAAATTATCGCCCCTCCAATATCAATTTTCTGGGTCCGCCCCTGCGTTCAAACATTACAACAAAATATAGCTTTTGTAGCATGCGCAAAATGTTGCAATAGGTGTCAAAAATGTCGCAATATATCACGTGCAACATTTTTTGCATGTTGCATCCGAATGGTGTTACAATAGATGTATTGTAGCATTTTTAATTTCTTATTGTAGCATTTTTTGGTACAATAATGTTTCATAGATACTAGCAATTTCTATGATGCTACAAAATAGATCTGCAATAAACACAATAAACATTTTTGGTGCTAGTGAAAAAGAAAAGAAATTCTAATTTGTTTCCATGGAATTGGATAACTACCTACAACCATATCCACTGAAAAGTTCGAATAATTTTATCCAAGTTTTGGGGCCTTACTTCTCCACCTCACAACCCCAATCCAGCAATTTTATCTCAAAGGATAACTCACAACTTCCAACGAAGAATATTCAAATGTATTACGAATAACTAGGAATTACATTTGCCCGTCTTTATGTCTGATTTGTACGTAATGCATCTGTAAGTTGAAATTCTACTTTTCCAATAAGTGCAATATTATATACCCTGGCGGTTGAGAATGAATATGCCATAACTTTTCATAAATACTATCGTATTTATTTTCAAATGCTCCGTACAATTTTTACTATATATACTTCCAGTTTTCAAAATCAACTTATATACCATTGTTTATCCAGAATACTTTTCGTTGGGAAACTTTCCCGTGATATGTCTAAAGCATATCGTGTTTCCTAAAATGCAACTAATATAGTACGTTTTTATTCTGAAATATAACCATACAAAAAAGAAATTCTTGTTATAATAAAATGTGGAACAACGAAAATATTCTTACTTAATTAAAAAAGATACATTTTGCACTATTTTCTTTCGAGTAAAAATAGTGCACTTTATGCTGGCGGAATTGCACGACATTTATTACATTTTATTTCGCCATTCATGCACTTGAGTTATGGCACTTCAGTTTATCATTTTTAGTTTTAATAGTTTCAACTTTTATGTTTAATTAAATATAATGCACTCCATATATGCCAGAGTTATGTGATGACATTACAAACATGGTAGGATTTTATAATTTTTGTTTTTCTTATTAGATTTGATAATTGCACTTTATGTTAATGCTAATGGTCTATATTATTGCACCATTTATCATAATCACTTATTTATGGTCATATCATTATTTCATTTCTTGTTATAATCACTGTTGGGTGTGTTTCGAAAAACAAAGAAAATTAACTAATAAAAATTAATTAAATAAAATGACTTAAAGAAAACAAGAAATGAGATGAAGCAGAATAAACCAAAGCTCGTGCTACGCACGATTTCCTTAAAACGTATTTGTTGCCTCCCGGGGTGCTAGGAGCATTGCAACGATCGTTTCCCAGGATACGATAACTTCGAACGATAGTTTAGCACTCAAACTATGGTTCCAACGAACAAGAACAATGCTGTGAACACTGAAGGAATTTTTCGGAGAAGACTAGAGTGTTTTTGTGCTAAAAGAGAGTGCAGTACGTATGTGTGTTGTGTCTTTTTGCAAAGCAGCTACCAGTCTTTTATAGGGATGGATTTGCATGTGTTAATGGCCTGTTTAAGGCATAGGAACGTTGGACATCAATGCCCAACGTTTGTCGCGAAAAACAAAAGTTAACGTTATCTTTAGAATATAGATTTTTGGACGGCGTTCGTGTGTGCAGGTCGCCCGCACACGCAAGTCGCGCTTTTTGTTCTTCAGTTTCGGGATTTGATTCGCACCCCCCTGCGCGCGTGAGAGAGCCTTTCACCTTAGGAATCTTAACTCCTTAGGGGGGGTTCCCTTTATAAAGGGTCCAAAATCCCTTGTGATTTTCGGTGTGGGAAAAACCCATACCAAATACTCACTTTTTCCTAGTTTTCTCCATTCCAACGGGTAAACTTCAAAAAGCGATTTCTCATTCACCCGTTATCCGTTTTGAGCGTACCATATATCGAATTGTAGCCCTAAGCAAGGACTATCTGAAACCACTTTGACCCGACCTAAATCAAAAGTGGACCCCGCTCAAAAAATTGCCCCAAAATGACCATTTAATGCAATTTAACACACTTTTTTCCAACAATCACTGTGTTGGGCCACTAATTACGCTATTGGTTGCCGGCCCATCTTGCAAGGAGTTGTGGAGAAATCCAGCAAAGGAATAGGGGTGGCAGTGGGTCGGATTTACACCGGGTGGAGGCTCATCCACGTCCACCCGTTAACTTTTTATACTCCACCCACCCGTCCATCATCCATTAAAATTTACATTCACATCCAACTCATCCATCTTGAACGGGTTATCGGGTGGATCGGGTGAATAGCGGGTGAGTAGCGAGTGAAATATAAATGGTCAAACTTGAGATAATAAATAAATTACAAAGAGAAACATTCATGACAATTAAAAACCAAAAACATTAATAATTGAGCAATTAAGTATATTACAATTATTAATTCACTGAGCGGCCGCTTCCCTGTCCCTCGGAAATCAGAATCCCGGCTTCTCAGAGTATGAGTCTAGGCATCCACCTCCAAGTCTCCAAAATAGGGCTAATGAGATTAGCCGATTAGGGATCGGATGAGCTCTAGTAATTCAGGAACATCCGAACATATACTCCGTAATATGTATATGGAGTAACCGAGTAACATATATACGTATCTAAGTATCTCACTATCTATTAATATATTTATATTAACTATTATTATTATTATTGTTGTTGTTGTTGTTGTTGTTGTTGTTGTTATTATTATTATTATTATTATTATTATTATTATTATTATTATTATTATTATCATTATTATCATTATTATTATTATTATATATCATTAAATAGATACTCCCTTCGTCCCACTAAAAATGGGACAAAAGGGAGTGACACACAAATTAATAAAAATGGTTTATGTGATTGATATTGAATTGATAAAGTACGAATAAAGTAAAAATGATTTAGAGTCACGCAAATTTTACCAAATAAGGTATGAGACAATCTTGGTGGGATGAACTGAAAAGGTAAAATCGGACCATTTTAACGGGACAGAGGGAGTAAAATATATATTATATATTATATATTTATATGCGGGTCAGCGGGTGGGTGGATAGAACGGGTGATGGGTTGGATGAGTGTTCATCCACACCCGATCCACCTCGTCTTTCAATCCACCCGCCATCCATTTTTCATTCATACTTCTTCGGGTTTTCGTCTATATTTTCGGTTCGGATTGACCGGGTATCCGCAGATGCGGGTGATATAGCCAGCCCTACAAAGGAAGAAGGATCCAGCCCAGCGAAATCAAGGATTAATGGATCGTTTAGAAGAGATAAGCACAATTCGAAACTTGGAGCAAAAGAAAAGCCAAGCACGTTCTTAAGTCCCTGCTATTTCGGTGGGTGGTTAGCAGTGGCGGATCTATCACTTACATTTTGAGTGTTCGAAATCACATTAAAATCAAAATTTCAAATGATAGTATGGAGCATCAATTTATGCAAGAATTATGCACTTTTGTCATTCCAATAAAAACTACTAAATGGTCAACAAATTACGCACTTATCTTTTTAGTAAAAAATACTAAATTAATAAATTGTTATTAAATCATCACACCTCTGGAGAGAATTTTCGGACACACATTTCAGCAGGGGAAAAGAAAAGTAGTTGAAATACTAGACATTAGGAAATTATTATAAGAAACACTATAGTGCGGCACTTGTATTCGAATTTTGCCAAAGTCTGGCGGTTTCTCTTTTTCATTGTGCCCCCTCCAAATTCTTCCAGAGAGGTATAGGCCGGCGCCCCCTATAGGAATAGGCAAAAATAGAATGTTCTCCTTCTACCTGCAGCTCCATTTCAGAAGTGCGTTTGAACAATATCTCACGATCGCTTAGACCAACTATCACATATCAGCCTTTCTATCACCGGACATAATAAGTAGTCATGTATTGGTACTCGTTTTTGAAAATTCAGGGTGTTCAGGTGAACACTCTTGAACAGCAGTGGATCCGCCACTGGTGGTTAGTTGGTGGATTAGGATGAAAAATCATTATTTAAATAAAGCTATTGTAAACGAAGCATTCATTCGAACTGCTAGTATCTTCATTCTCAAATTCTAAGCAATTGGAGTTTATATTCATTAATAATTTTGAAGGCAAAGTTTATTTATATTAGTTTTTACAGCCTCTTGCACGAAGCCTCACATTCATTCAATTGTTTAGAAGGATAGTGTATTCTTTGCTTAATCAAATTGGCGCCCACCGTGGGGCATCGTGCAAGAAAGAGTTCAAACATGGAAAGAACAAATCAGTTGTTGATCCAATTCCATCAACAATTGGAGACGGTCCGAGAAGAGATTCGGCGTGAGATGGCGGAGAGGATGGCCCTTCTTCAATGGGAGAATGATGTACTCCGGTCCCAGGTACAATCCGCAGTGTCAATAGCATCGAATTCAAGGCCCAACCGGAGGACTGACCTTATGAATGCTGCCACAAGGTTGGATCTCGACGTCTCCCCGCCATCCATTTTTCATTCATACTTCTTCGGATTTTCGTCTATATTTTCGGTTCGGATTGACCGGGTATCCGCAGATGCGGGTGATATAGCCAACCCTACAAATGAAGAAGGATCCAGCCCAGCGAAATCAAGGATTAATGGACCGTTTAGAAGAGATAAGCACAATTCGAAACTTGGAGCAAAAGAATAGCCAAACACGTTCTTAAGTCCCTGCTATTTCGGTGGGTTGTTAGTTGGTGGATTAGGATGAAAAATCATTATTTAAATAAAGCTGTTGTAAACGAAGCATTCATTCAATTGAAAAAACAAGAGACTACTCATTCGAACTGCTAGTATCTTCATTCTCAAATTCTAAGCAATTTGTGTTTATATTCATTAATAATTGTAAGGCAAAGTGTATTTATATTAGTTTTTACAGCTTCTTGCACGGAGCCTCACATTCATTCAATTGTTTAGAAGGATAGTTTATTCTTTGCTTAAACAAATTGGTGCCCACCGTGGGGCATCGTGCAAGAAAGAGTTCAAACATGGAAGGAACAAATAATTTGTTGATCGAATTCCATCAACAATTGGAGACGGTTCGAGAAGAGATTCGGCGTGAGATGGCGGAGAGGATGGCCTTTCTTCAACGGGAGAATGATGTACTCCGGTCCCAGGTACAATCCGAAGTGTCAATAGCATCGACTTCAAGGCCCAACCGGAGGACTGGCCTTATGAATGCTGCCACAAGGTTGGATCTCGGCGTCTCTCCGCCATCCATTTTTCATTCATACTTATTCGGGTTTTCGTCTTTATTTTCGGTTCGGATTGACCGGGTATCCGTAGATGCGGGTGATATAGCCAGCCCTACAAAGGAAGAAGGATCCATCCCAGCGAAATCAAGGATTAATGGACCGTTTAGAAGAGATGAGCACAATTCGAAACTTGGAGCAAAAGAATAGCCAAGCACATTCTTAAGTCCCTGCTATTTCGGTGGGTGGTTAGTTGGTGGATTAGGATGAAAAATCATTATTTAAATAAAGTTGTTGTAAACGAAGCATTCATTCAATTGAAAAAACAAGAGACTACTCATTCGAACTGCTAGTATCTTCATTCTCAAATTCTAAGCAATTTGTGTTTATATTCATTAATAATTTTGAAGGCAAAGTTTATTTATATTAGTTTTTACAGCTTCTTGCACGAAGTCTCACATTCATTCAATTGTTTAGAAGGATAGTTTATTCTTTGCTTAAACAAATTGGCACCCACCGTGGGGCATCGTGCAAGAAAGAGTTCAAACATGAAAGGAACAAATCAGTTGTTGATCGAATTCCATCAACAATTGGAGACGGTCCGAGAAGAGATTCGGCGTGAGATAGCGGAGAGGATGGCCCTTCTTCAACGGGAGAATGATATACTCCGGTCCCAGGTACAATCCGCAGTGTCAATAGCATCGAATTCAAGGCCCAACCGGAGGACTGGCCTTATGAATGCTACCACAAGGTTGGATCTCGGCGTCTCCCCGTCATCCATTTTTCATTCATACTTCTTCGGGTTTTCGTCTATATTTTCGGTTTGGATTGACCGGGTATCCGCAGATGCGGGTGATATAGCCAGCCCTACAAAGGAAGAAGGATCCATCCCAGCGAAATCAAGGATTAATGGACCGTTTAGAAGAGATAAGCACAATTCGAAACTTGGAGCAAAAGAATAGCCAAGCACGTTCTTAAGTCCCTGCTATTTCGGTGGGTGGTTAGTTGGTGGATTAGGATGAAAAATCACAATTTAAATAAAGCTGTTGTAAACGAAGTTACTTACTTGTGAAACCATCAACGATTAACCATCAGTTCGTTGATCGTTTCTAGTAATAATTAATATATGAAACAAAACTAGTTGATCCTTTAAGTAATGTTCAAAATATTAATATGAAATATGAATAGGAATTAATTAATACTCAAGGAAGAATATTAAAGAAAATGGATCCTACTATAGTTAATATCAAGATGTTAACTAATTGTCATCTTAGTAACACTCCACAATATTAACATAGAGGAAGGAATAGCTATTACTAAGACCAATGTCTAGATGTTAACTAATTGTCATCTTAGTAACACTCCCCAACATTGATATAGAAATAGTATTTAAAGGAAGAATTAATATTCAAGGAAAGAAGTTAAGAAAATAACTCACAACTTTAATAATCAACAAGCTTCAAGAGCAACACCAAGAAATGGAAGTTTAGCTCCTCATTTGGAGCCTAAACATGCTAAAAGAAATATAGAGAAATGCTATTCTAAACTGAGCTTAAGAGTATAAAGGAATTGGTGATTTAAAAGTGAAGAAAAATGGGGTTATTTATAGGTGTTTTCAACACCCTGGGGCATTGACCCGCCCGGGTAAATGGACATACCCGACCGGGTAAACGTCAAAATCAAATATTTCGCCATGCTCTCATGTTTCTGCACGTCGTTTGGTCCCGGGTCGTGTCTGACCCGACCGGGTCAAGTAGGGGACCCGACCGGGTCTCGCACTTTCCTTGATTCTTCGGTTGTTAAATCTTACCCGACCGGGTGGGGATTTCTACCCGGTCAGGTTTTGCTCCTGGGCAGTCAAATTTCTTGCTTTCTTCTCTTCAAAGTCCTCTTTTCCAACACCATAAATCCTAAATCTACTTTAAACTTATAAATGAAGATTAAAATACAATTACAACTAAAATAACACAAATGTTTACAAACTAAATAAAACGATAAACAATACACACAAATCAAACATAAAAATATACACTTATGCACTACTAATTAGTGCATATCAGAATGATGTACTGACGAGCTTTTTGTCGTGTGTGCACTCAAAATAAATTCAATACTAGCACTAATACGTTGTATAGCGTAGTAGAGTTCGTATCCACAGGGAAAGGAAATAATTCTCTTTTTATAAAACTAGTAAATAAGGGGGGTTTTGGGATTGAGTAATTTGATTAAATTTAAACACGAAGATGAACGAGTTATATGTGATTTAATTCAAAGATAAAAAGGACTTGACATTGCTACTTTCCACTTGTTGATATATTTTAGTCGATCATTGTTCTATCTATAACTTATCCCCTCTCAAATACTCAATCGAGGAGTATATCCAATTCATCGAGAGTAGTTATTAACAACGACCGTTCATTAATAACCCTTACTATTAGTCAAGTATAGAACACCGCCATATACCGACTTAATAGTAGCATTTAATCTCTTAACTCCTTGATGAAATCAATTGAGATTGATAACCTCAACACAACGGTTTCGGTTTAACCAACAAAATTAATCCCTCTTAAGTTTATTAACCACGACCCTGCATTAATAAACCGAAGTTACTTACTTGTGAAACCATCAACGATTAACCATCGGTTTGTTGATCGTTTCTAGTAGTAATTAATGTCGAGATGTTAACTAATTGTCATCTTAGCAACACTCCCCAACATTAATATAGAGATAGATTAAGGGAAGAATTAATATTCAAGGAAGAAGATTGAATATGAATAATCCTACTATAACTAATGTCAAGATGTTATCTAATTGTCATCTTACCAACACTCCCCAACATTAATATATAGAGGAAGAAAATAAATACTACTATAACTAATGTTGAGATGTTAACTAATTGTCATCTTAGCAACACTCCCCAACATTAATATATAGATAGATTAAAAGAATAATTAATATTCAAGGGAAGAAGTTAAGAAAATAACTCACAACTTTAATAATCAACAAGCTTCAAGAGAAACACCAAGAAATGGAAGTTTAGCTCCTCATTTGGAGACTAAACATGCTATAAAAATATAAAAGAAATACTATTCTAAACTGAGCTTAAGAGTATGGAAGAAGGAGTGAATAAAAGTGAAGGAAAATGGGGCTATTTATAGGTGTTTTCCAACACCTTGGGCCGGGTACCCGACCGGGTCAAGTGCCCACCCGACCGGGTGTATGTCAAAATCAGATAATCTCCCACGTTCTTGTGTTTTAGCACGTTAAAATGTCCCGGGTCAAATCTGACCCGACCGGGTGAAATAGGGGACCCGACCGGGTCTGGAAATTTCCTGAGCTTCTTCGTTTGTTAAATCTTACCCGACCGGGTCAAGTGTTATACCCGGTCGGGTTTCAGCTCCTGGACAGTCCAATCTCCATTTTCTTCACTTCAAATTCTCCCTTTCCAACACCATAATTCCTAATTCTACTCTCCAACTTACAAATGAAGATTAAAATACAATTACAACTAAAATCACACATATGTTTACAAACTAAATAAAACGATAAACAATACACACAAATCAAACATAAAAACATACACTTATGCACTACTAATTAGTGCATATCATGAACCTTCCCAGAATCTTTGTTTTTCACCTCATACCCGGCCGGGTAAATTCCATACCCGGCCGGGTTTTGCCCTAAACTCAAGATTTTGCATCCTTTTTGCTTTCCAAGCTTTCTTATTCTCAAACCCAACTAACTATTTCTTACAAAAAATAATTAAATGCTAGAAATACAATTACAATCAAATGCAAACTAACAAATACAAACTTTTCACAATAATAGTAAATAAACATCACAAACAATTATAAAAACGTATACTTAGGCACTAACAATTAGTGCCTATCATGTACTCCGGGCCCAGGTACAATCCGCAGTGTCAATAGCATCGAATTCAAGGCCCAACCGGAGGACTGACCTTATGAATGCTGCCACAAGGTTGGATCTCGGCGTCTCCCCGCCGTCGACGACTCCACCCGCGGCATCGACGGATCCAGTATCTCATACGTTGGGTCTGTCGCCAACGCCGGCTGGAGAACCATACTCGACGGTCACTCGCAGGTCATCCCGTACACGCCACTCGTGCCAGCGACGACACCACCGACAAATATACTGGTCTGCTTTTTCCCGGAATCTCTTCGGGTCAGGCCGAATGGGTCAGGCTTGCATGCGGCAACTCAAAGCATGCATGTGATGACTCCGTACTACACTCCAACGGAACCGTCGATCCCCCATTACAGAAGCAGAACAAGCGGAGATCCCGGTCCCTCCAACTCCAACCCGTCATCTGGTATGTCTTCTGCCCCTGCGGAGCCATCAATCCCTAATTACGGAAATCGGAGTGGTGGGGAGGCCGGCCCATCAAGTTTTATGCAAGACGCCAGACGAAGCGGGCATAGTGTGTCATTCTTAGAACCCCAGACACAACGCCTTAGCAGATTTGATACGCTGTCAACATCGACATTTCCTGAACGACGTCTTGAAGTTATCCAAGTGGCAGGACCGACGTCTTCCTCTCAATGTCCACTTCACTCTGACATGGCAGATCAGATGTCCATGTTGATGGAACAAATGCGTCAAATGCAGGATAAAATCAACGGATTACCAGGTGTTCCCCTACCTTTGGACAGAGCGTCTAGGACATGTTATGCAGAGTCTCCCTTCAGTAGATGTATCACTAACGTCGAGATACCCAGGAAGTTCGTCGCCCCGGCCATGAAGATGTTTGATGGGACGTCAGACCCAGTGGAACACGTCGCTCAATTCAAACAGCGCATGTTAGCCGTCGCACTCACTCCGGACCAGAGGGAGGCGTGTATGTGTCGAGGTTTTGGAACGACGCTCTCAGGACCAGCCTTGACCTGCTTCGTCAACCTACCAAACGAAGGGATCGATTCGTTCGCAGAACTGGTCGACTCGTTCACGCAACAATTTGCAAGCAGCCGCACCCTGGAGAAGCAAACGAGCGACCTATACCGGATTATCCAACAACGCGACGAATCTTGGAGAGATTACCGTCATCATTTCAACAGGGAAAAGGTATCAATCTCACGATGCGACATACCTACAGCAATCGAGGCATTCCGGAGGGGATTGAAGAATGATTCTGAGTTATACAGGGAATTGACAAAGTTTCCTTGTCGCACATTCGAAGACGTCCAGGCTATAACCTTAGCCTTTATCAGGTTAGAAGAGGATTTGCGGGCACAACCGCATGCTGACAGTTACGAAGGGGGGCACCGCAAATCCAGTACGTCCAGAAGGCATGACTACCGAACTGGCAAACTTTATGCCAAGACTGAGGAGCGACCCGTTGCGGCAATGACGCATTGGCTCGATGATCCTGATCTACCTCCGGTTATCCCTGACTACTGCTTCAATGTCAGTACTACAGGGCTCATCAATTCTTTGGAAAGGCTAGGAGAAAAAGTCAGGTGGCCATAGAGAACCGACAAACCAGCTGGAAAGCGAGACCCGAGTAAACATGAAGGTTTAAACCTTCATGTTTACTCGGGTCTCTCTTTCCAGCTGGTTTGCTTGAGGAGATTTGCACCCCAAATCTCTTGCCTCTTTGATGAATTTTAGGATCCTTATGGTTGGACCTCCATCACCATGGCCCCCATGTGGTTCATCATGGGCTCTAGAAGCACCATGGCTTCCTCCTCTCGAAGCCATACCCGAAGGTTGCCCCGCTCGGCGCCTCCGGCGTTCCCTCCTCTCCTCGCGCTCTCAGTGGTACTGTTGGAGCAGCGCCTCAATTCTTGCCAAGGAGCCATTTTCCTCCTCGTCACTAACATCATCATCATCCCCTTCATAAGGGGTCTCCACCGGCTCGGTTTCCGGTTGGTAGGTCGAGTCCTCATAAGACCAGTAGCTCTCACTCTCGGTGCTCACGTGACCATCGCTCACGGTCTGTGATCGGCCCTCACGGCCCGCTCCTCTAGATGCCCTAGAGGTCCTACGGCTGCCCTGCCCAGTCTCCACCGGTGCACGGCCCGTCGGGTTTCTCCTAGTAACCTTGCCACCACGGTCCATTTCTGAAAGAAATTTGGAAAGAGTCGTTAGACTCGTATCAAATGGAAATTGACAGATCGG